CACTCCACCAAATTGACATGTTTTACACCTGTGCACTTCATTAGCTATACCTCTATCGAGAATTTTCACAGGGAAGACTTGGGCGTCTTGTCGAACCGAACCTACTCACGAAGATTTAGCCTGTTATTAATCGCTGAAAAAAACAGGCGGTGGCTGCTGGACTATAGATCTAATTGCACGATATTGTTCTTAAATGTTGTCCTTAGGTCATGCCGGTCTAATTTTGTGGATATTTATCATGGAATTTTTGTACAAAGCAAATATTATCATCACGTATACCAAAAGTGAGTGCCACCTACAATTTTAAAAGTATCGTAAAATCTAAATTAAATAAAAAAATAGTAACATTAAATCAAAAAGAAAAATCAAAGGACCTAACTTATTGTAACTCAAGTGTAAAAGAAAGAATATTTTTTATTTTTTGTATTTTTTACCATGTGTTTTTAACCATGTTGTGTTTTTAACCATGTTATACCGCGATGATCACCTTGAGTAAAATATATATTATACATGGGTAAGTAATGTTGCATATAAACTACGTGAAAAATAAATAGAACCATTTTTGTAGAGAATTTCATGATCTTTCTTTTTTGTAACTACCTTAATTGACCTCCGAGCCATACAAAACGAGATTTTCGCAAAAAACTGATTTTCGTGACTTGATCTTAAGGGGATCCTATAGCGAAGGCCGAACTTCCTCGACGTCGGTAATGTCAACATTTCTAATCTTGTTTTCTATGTTATATATCTATGTCTGTCCTTGTCTAACCAGAGGCATCTGTTTTTGTTCGATTGCTGCGTCATCTCTCGCTACACGCAATACTGCTTATCCTGTCAACCTAAATGTGCTTTTGCTTAATAAAACTTCATTTTACGGAATCTTTTTTTCTAGACGTTTAATCTTAGTTTTATTTACACGATATTGTTCCTACGTGTTGTCCCTACGTCGCCTTGGTGTCATTAAACTGCAGTAATTTTGTTATTGTCGTCAGATGACAGTTGTATGTGCCCAAATTAGTAAAATTTTTAATTTCTTTTTGTTCCCGATATGAAATCGTACAACGCGATGTAGATTTTTGTGCGTACTTTAATTCTAGACCAAAAACTTGCAATTCTGTAAAGCCAATTCAAAAATTCCTTAAAATGAAAAAATGTCGGTAACTACCGCTACTATAGGATCCCCTTAAATAACTTTTTTAGCCCTGCCGATATCGTTCTCTATTTTTAATATGTTATTTAAAACAACGAAATAAACCGGTTAAAACAAAAAATAAAATGTAACGGTGCTAATTATTTTACAGACGAACGTGTTTCTGTGTTTTGTTAATACGATGCTGTCCGTCAATAATTAAAATATTAAAAATGGTGCAAATTAGAAATTTGCACTTGGCTTCCTCATGGAGGATGTGATGTCTTAAGATCCTAATACGGCCCTCTGATTGGCTTTGATTGGCAACACATTGGCATTGAAAACTCAAAAAACAATTTTTACTTCGGTCTTTTCTACCCCTATTTCATATATAATTCTTTTAAATTCGGTTGATTAGACTTAGCTTTATATGCGAGCAAAATTATGGACCTTTAATCGCGTATAAAGCTGGGGTTAATCAACCAAATTTTAAAACATTATATATGAAATAGGGGTAGAAAAGACTAAAAAATATAATAAAATTAAAAATAAATCGATATCTCCAAATTTGCGGAAGTTAGAGCAACCACGGACATTTCTAAAAAAATTCAAAATTTTTTTAAAAAAAAACCCCTTTACCGATCATCGCCAAATTCAACCTTCCTTGAATGATACTCTATCGATTAAAAAAAAAACATCCCGATATCTAAAAAATTACGGAAGTTAGAGCATATACGGACAACAAAAGCATACATATACATACACACATACATACATACATACACACGGACATTTTGTATAAAAGTGATTTTTCGACGTTTTAGAACATTCTAAACAATTTGCCAAAAATACTTAAAAAAAATTTTTTTTTCACGAAAACAAAGCTTCCTTTATGAGGAAGCAAAAATTAACAAAAATATTAATTTTTTCTCGTTTTCAATATAAATTCGACCACCATGACCTAGATTTTGATCCGTACTTTAATTCTAGACAAGAATTTTGCATTTCTATAAAGCCAATTAAAAGATTAGTGCTAAGAAAAAAAGCCGGTATTACAAACGGCTTTAGGATCCCCTTAATATTGTGGTTATATGTCATAAATTGACATATACTATACACTATCTTTATTAATTGTAAAATATACTCAAAGCGGAAATATCCCATTAATGGTGGACGACCAATCCGCATCCTGCAGCCTCGGTGTTCTATCTCTTATTAACAAAAGGATCCCTACATCATAATAACCTCTCCTGTCCTCTTCTGCATTGGCATCGCAATCTCGCAATGTCCACCTTACTACATAAATGTGTGCTTTTCATTTAGCGACTCAAGTCGACACAAACGTCATTCTGTCTCTTTTCAACATCTAGTGAGCAACAAAGATAGAATGACGTTTGTGTCGACTTGTGCCGTTAACTGGAAAGCACCTACTGTTGCCAGCCAATCACGGAGAGCTGGTCACATAACCCATTAGCGCCTCTCTCCTAGGTCATGTTCCAAAACTCACTCTAGTTAACTAAAATGCTAGTGTACGTGACGTAAACTATAGATTTTAGTTACCCAGAGTGAGTTTTGGAACATGACCCTAGAGACTCTTTAGTACTATACACACTAGTGTCTATACACACATATCAGCAAATTATTTCTTTTAGTACTGTATTATTATTATTTTATTAAACATTTTGTTAATAACTTTTTAATAAAAAACAACCGTATATTGTAAACATGTTACTGTAAGAGAACTTATTACTTTATTATTATTAATTAGTCTATATATATATATATATATATATAAAACACAGGGTGTTCTAAAAAAGGGGGGTCAAAATTTAGGGAGATATCCCTCACACCTAAAGGATGAAAAAATGTTATATGAACATGTGCGGAAACGCTTTATTCAGGAGTTGTGTTGAAAATACTGTTGACTATATTACTTACACAAGAAACAATTTAAGATTAATCATTGTGGACGATAATCGTTTAATCAGTAGGTTTATTTACATTTGTTTTTAAAGTGACCTTAAGTTGTCTGGCAAATAAGGTCACTACCTCATTTAGCCGTAACGTCACATACTCAGAAAAGAAGCCAGGCAGAAATAAAATGGGTTTCCGCACCCATGTTCATATAACATTTTTTCATCCTTTAGGTGTGAGAAATATCTCCCTAAATTTTGGCTTTTTTTTTTAGGACACCCTGTATATATACTGCAATAAATTAAGGACTTTGATAATAATTTTTTATACATTGTTTTATAATAGTTTATAAAACAAATTATTTGCTCTAAAGGCATATGCATTGCACACAGTTTCATCATTTCAAATCAATTAATAGTTTATTACGATTGCGACTGTTTGTTTTACTGAATTAAACTTATCAACTAAGAGTTTTAATCCCAAGTAAAACGCATGCCCAATGCTTTTAGAAATGTTTATTTTGAAACATTCTATAAATTTCTAATAGTTTCTTTCAGCCCAGTTTTTAAAGCTGTCCATTCTGAGCCAACATTTCTTGCATAAGTTGCACACGTTTATTTAATATTTTAATTTTTTAGTTCATAATTTTCTTCGTATAACTTTCTATTTTTTACATCAATCTCTTCAGTCTTCTTATCTACTTTTACTACTTGTTCCACAGTTCCTTTTATCTTATTCCGCAACTGTCCATTTTCATCGATAATGCTCCTCAGTATATCATTATTCTCATCTTTTATATCAATCTCTTCAATCTTCTCTACTTTTACTACGTCTTCCACAGTCTCTTTTATACTATTCTGCAACTGTTCATTTTCATCTATGATGCTCCTCAGTAAATCCTTATTCTCATCTTTTATATCAATTTCTTCAGTCTTGTCTATTTTTACTATTACTTCCATAGTTCCTTTCATCTTATTCTGCAACTGTTTATTTTCATCTATAATGCTCTTCAGTAAATCCTTATTCTCATCCATTGACTGCATTTCGTCTATTTGTTCTACAATTTCTTGAGATTTTGCAATAGTTTGTATATCTTCTTTGGTTAATGGTTTTACAGTCTGTACACAACCACATTGATGTTGAATCAAGTATCCCCTTTTTTTTCTTAGATATGTCTTTCCATTGGATATATTATTAATAGTTAATGGTGTTAGTAGCTTTCGCTGGTTTGACTTACTATATGTGTGATCACAATGATTTCTAGGCACATTTTTAAATTGCTTACTTCTTCTTGATGGTTGCTCGTTTAGAGGTAATTGTGCAATGAAACTATTCCTCGGACAGTTCTTTCGATCCTGTAAAAGACACGTACAAAAACGAGAAGGAACTGAACCTAGTTTTACTCGTTTACGCCCAGCAACAAATTCAATTTGCGATGGCTCAAAATGTACCTACAGAAAAAAAACCACAACATGTTTGAGTCTAACAATAAATTACATTGTTATATCTATTCATCTTCCAAAGTGCAGAATTAAAACGTACATACTGCACATTGTTTCTAACCTCGCAAAGTTTTTGAGAACTACTAGGTGACCAGTTCTTGCCTCTTCCAACCGCAGCAATCCATTTTTGTTTTAATGACTCATCGTGCGGATACCTGACCAGTGCATAGCCTTGATTACTGTTGTTTGAACAGTTGCATGCAGTGCAATGCGATGGCATAGCGAACGGTAATGTAATGTAAAGTCATGATAAAGCCACAGTATATACTGTGGTAAAGCCCATGATACAAAGACAAGGGTATGCTTACGCGCATATATAAATCACGTGACCGTCAACGGCCAATCGGAATTGTCACCATTCATACGTCATCATTATGCGGTAAATTCGAAGTTACTGTCATTTTTTTACAATACACATTATAGAAAGTTACTATTTTGCCATTGTTTAGACGTCATTGCATTAAAGTTATACATTATACAAAAGTTGTACATTATTGTAAAATTTCTATAATGTAGTACATACGTTAATACGAAATACTTTACTAAGATATGGGGATACAAAGTATATATTTGAGGTTCTTTAACGGCTAAATCATATATATATATATTTATATTTATATTTATATTATATATATATATATATAAATAATATTTTATTAATAAAGTATACTTTATCAATAAAGTATTAAAATGGTTAACAATGTTAATTAAATGAATAATAAATATGTAAATAAAATAGGCAATAAATTAATTTGATAAATTATTATTTAAATAAAAATGTATAAAAAGCGAAATTAAGGGATTAAGAAATAAAACATTAAATTAAATAATGTAATATTGAATTAATAATAAAACAACAAAGATGTGTATTAAAATATTTTATTGTTAGTAAATTTTACTAATAATTTTACTAATAATTTTACTAATTATTTTACTAATAATTTTACTAATAATTTTACTAATTTTTCATATCTTTCACATATCTTCAGTGCCATATCATTTTCTTTTGGGAATGAAAAATATTGCACTT